GATGGTTGGGATTGCTGTTGTTAAGTGGGCCTTGGGTTTGACATCCCTGAACTAGATGATCTACCAGTCAGGTTGGCACTATGATCGCGTGATGGAATCCTGTGAGATTAATGCCTCAAGACCAGCATGCCTATGGAATATGGCATAGCTAAGTGTTTCTCAGCCTGGACCATTTTAGGATGGGTTGACTTGCTGGCTGTGGAATTCTGGGAGTTGAAGTCCACCCATTTTAAAATGGCCCAGGTTGAGAAACCCTGACACAGCTGTTAACCCGTTCATAGAGTAGCTGTGTGGTCTGCCAGCGGCCAGCAGAGCTGGCAGCAGATTCGGATAGGGAGGAGATTGGGGAGGAACAATGGCCAGTCCTGGAGTCTGGGGAAGACTCTGATGAGGGCTCTGTGTCGGAGGCAGAGAGGGGGGCAGAGTCTAATGCTAGTTATCAGCTGCCTTCAGAGTCAGACATCAGTGAGGCAGACGAACAGCTGGAGGCTGTTTCCAGTGTGCGCATGCGTAGAGTTGCCAGATGAAGGGAACAGCTAAAGAACAGGGGTCGACTTGGGAATAAGGACACAGGTGGATGATGAATGGACCCTCCCAGAGGAAATAAAAGAAGAGCAAAAGGGAAGTGGAGTTTGCAGGAGACAATTAGTTTGCTTAATTGGTTCATTGACTCTCTGAGACTCCTTGCAAAGTTTTGCAGATATGTCAGCTCTCCAAGCCAGATAAGGTCTGTGACTGTAAATCCTCCCTTGAAAGACTTTGTTGGATGTGAATCAGCAGAAGTCACAGTAACTTAATTAAAAAGTTTTTTTGTGGGGACAAGGAGTTTGCTTCATGCTCTTGGGAAGCCTTGGTGAGAACAGTAGCATTAGAGCTGGTTCTCCATTTTCCAGCCCAAGGCAAATAATTTACATGCTTTCTAATCCAACGGAAAGTCAAATGTGTATCTTCTCCTAATTGCAGGTACCGAACAGACTAAGCAGATCATATTTGGGCCAACCCAAGAGCCGACATTTGTCACTGTTCCTCACCACAGCTTTGGAGAACCATTTGTGTTGAGTCCTCATGTTTGGTCTCTCATCATTGAAGCTGAAGATGTCCTTCTTGTAAGTCTGGTCTTCCTTTTCTCCCTACAGACAGGATGGAGGCCAAAGGATTCTTGAGCCTCATATTTCCATTCTTCCTTCTAGGATTATCTGGTTCTGCTTCCCAGCTCTTATTATGAAGCTCCTATACTGCAATATACAGTCTCGGATCCTTGTACCTATAGCCCAGCTCCTGAACAAGTGGGTCAAAAGTAAGCCTTACATTTTTATTTTTTGTCCTAACTTTGTATTGCATTTTGACCGACAGTGCAATTGGGATGCAGGCAATCTTTTATTGGGTTAGCTGAGCCATCTGTTGCTTGCTTTAATTGAAAAAAGTAATATCATAGTGGGTTATGATAGAGGGATGCAGTGGCTCAGAGGCTAAGATGCTGAGCTTGTCGATCAGAAAGGTTGACAGTTCATGTAACAGTGTGAGCTCCTGGTACTTATCCCAGCTTCTGCCAATCTAGCAGTTCGAAAGCATGTAAAAATGCAAGTAGAAAAATAGGAACCACCTTAGGAGGGAAGGTAACCGCATTCCGTGCTCCTTCGGTGTTTAGTCATGCCCGCCACATGACCACGGAGACGTCTTTGGACAGCGCTGGCTCTTCGGCTTTGAAACGGAGATGAGCACCACCCCCCTAGAGTCAGGAATGACTAGCACATATGTGCAAAGGGAACCTTTACATTTTTTAATACGTTTCACTTCTCATCCAAGAAGCTTCTTCAGTTCTGGTGGAGGATGGAAGAATTTATACTCCTTGCCGACAGCTGCTCATTTGCATTCTTTTAGTGAGTCATTGAGGCCATCTGGAGGTTTATCTGTGTCCTCAGGGTCACCTGAGTGGTGCAAATGGGTGGGGAGTTTTCTTGGAACTGCTGAAAGGACTGTGTTGTAGACTGGAGACAGATGATGTTGTATCCCTCCCCCTCTTTTGAGAGAGGCTGTTCAGTTTTGACATAGATGGCTTCTTTGACCCCTCTTTCAAACTAGCAGTCCTCTCTGTCCAAAATGTGGACTTTGCTCATCTTCAAAAGAGTGTCTTTCAAATGCAGGTGGACTGCTGAATCTAATCCTTATGGGTTTGTTCTCCTGGGTCTCCATAGACATAATATCATAGTAGTGTCTTTAGTTGCAGCACCCAAACAACCTATGCAACTGGAAAGTAATGCATATGTGTGTCATGATCCGGTTAATGTCAAGGTTCCAAATAGCATCCAAAATTAAATCAGAGTCCAAGGCAAAGTATTGCTCAAAGTTCCAATTTATTAA